ATATATATATATATAACAATTTATGCAAATTATTCAGATATGTTGTTTACCGATGCCATAACACTATTTCCTCGAATATCTTCATGTTCATTCTATATGCATATCCCCAAGTTGATTAGGCGATTTCTACTAAGTTTATTCGACCAGGGCTGAAATATAGTTAATCGATTTGCCAAAGTTGTCCTTCGTAAATCAACCAACTAAAAGGCTCTTTGTCAATCACACGAGGAACTCAACACAACTGGCAATAGTATGCGGAATTAAAAGCGGAGGTTATTTGCTTTTCATCTACAACTGAAGGTCTTTTTCAATACCTGCCTAGATCATAATCAGTTCCATTTTTGTTTATCAAATAGCATACTATTTCAAACCTAGATTATTTGCTAGAATGCCCATATCTTAGTGAACAAGAGGATTTCATTTTGACAGCCAGCCATTAAGTTACCTTGATTGTTCAGTATTTGTGAGGGAGGAAGCCCTGGCGTCTGTAGATAAAGTGGGAGGAGGGGGGACGGAAGCTGATGGCTGTCCTCATTTCGCATGTTCTGATCGCTTAATTCTTACTTACTTTAGAGGAAGCTCTTGCTTTGGCGAAAAAACTAGCTAGTGACGCTGAAAAACCCCCAGGTGAGTTACGGTTTAGCTTTACTTTTATTCTATCTAATAATTTAAACAAAGAAGTCTCACAATTTGCTAACTCATGCCATAACACAAATATACCTCGGGCTTCTTCATGCAGAAGTGATACACACATATCCCGAGTTGACTAAACGATTTCCACTTCGTTTAATCGACGAGAGCTGTAGAGCTCGTACAGCAATTAATTGAATGGATATTTGAGTAGCACACAAAGAACTCTCTCTGATTGGCGAAGATGAGTTTCTTTTCTTCTTCTTCTTCAACTAAAGGTCTTTGTGCATAGCCTGATTAGATCATAAGGTGTCCTAATCTTTCTAAGTAGTATACTAATGCATATCAAACATTTTCTGCTAGTTCTTCCACATCTCAGTGTATATAAGGTTGCCATTTTGACAATGAGCCACTAAGTCACCTTGAGAGTTTAGTATTTGCGATAGTGGAATCAATTCCGGCTGTTAATCTAACTGTAGATTATACTGGTTGAGGAGTGACTTGATGTCTGTCTACAAGTTTTTTTTTAAATTGGCCTTTTGTGTGTTCTCACCGTCAACTCCATATTTGTTTAGAAACCGCCGTCGCAAAGGCAAAACGAGTAATAAGTGGGGGTTATAAAAACTCAAGTGAGTATTTTATCATTTATTGAATTTATGAATATATATATATATATATATATATATATATATTATATAACAAATTAACCAAATGAATCTCATGCTTTGCTAACCGATGCCATGACACTAAATTCCTTCATGGTAAAGCCATATACATATCCCCCCGAGTGGAACTAATCGAATTCCACTTAGTTTAATCGACCAGGGCTGGAAATGCCGTTGATTATGAATTGCCACAGATGCGGTTCGTGCACCAATTGACTGAAAAAATATTTGTCCATCACACGAGGAACCCAGCACAACAGGTGATAGTAAGAAAAATCACAGGTGAAGATTAGTTGCTTGTCTTCTACTGCTGAAGGCCTTGGTGCTATGCCTGTGTTCCAGTTTTATCAGAAAGCATACCAATTTTTACCTCCAAAAGGATGTCATTTTGACAGTGTGTCAATAAGTTAACATGATAGTTTAGTATTTTGCGAGAGTGGAACCTGTGGCGGCTGTTAATGGGAATGCAGATTTGCTTTGGTCAAGGAGTAGGTTGATGGCTGTCTACAAACAGTTTTTACGTTATCCTTTGGCATGTTCTGATTGTCTAATCCATATTTGAATTAGAAAAAGCTGTCGAGTTTGTGAAAAAAGAAATTGGTCCCCATGATCACGGAGAAGGTGAGTTTTACTATTTATCTACTGCTTAATGACTAAAACAATAGTATCTCATGCCTTACTAACGAATTCCATGTTACTGATTCCCCGAGTATCGCCATTTTGAAACGATATATGCATTTCAGCGTCTTAAATAAATAATTTCAACCTAGTTTAATCCACCAGGGCAGGTAAATATAGTTAATCCAGTTGTCTCAGTTACTTAAAGTGTATTTGCATACCACACAAAGAACTCATCCCTAATCGATGAGAGTGGTCGAAACTACTAGCAAAACTGGTCCATTTTCTTTTTCTTCTTCTTCTTCTTCCTCAGCTAAATGTCTTTGTGCTCTCTCTCTCTCTCTGCTTAGGCCATAATGTGCCATAATTTTAAACTCTCTGGGGGTCCCCTTCTAATTAGATTTACTGTGTAGGTAATGGACAAAGTGAATTAAGGAATTGTTACATTCAAGCGCACATCTTCTTAATATACTGTCTCAATTCAGCATGTTAGAAGGAGCTAAGAATTGTGTTCTACTTTTATTAAGGAGTATACAAATTCACCTCTTAACGTTCCTGCTAGGTTTATGCAATAGTAGTTTTTGGTTTCAAATTAAAAAAAATAATTTTAATTTATATAACACCATTAGTTGTTACTTTCTGCAATTGTCTTTATAAACTCAATTAGAATACTCTCATTTCCCATATTTTAACTTGGTCGAATTAATATTCTGAACAAATTATTGACCTATAATTTTTCTCACTTTAATGATATTTTAACCAGCTGAACCTGTAAAGGAGTACGATCGAACTCCAGCAGATACGGCTGGCCCCACGAGTGAGTTTGTGTCTGGAAATGCAAATTTCCATTCCTAGATTGTAGAGCTTAATACCTCTGCGTTTTTTATTCATAAAGATGGTACACCTCGGAATGGCGTCCGATTTGGGAGAAATGAAATCATCGATCCAGAAACAAATCAGCCCGTGGAGAGATTCAACGGTTGTAAGTGTTTAATTTCCACGAAATAGCTCCAAAGGGGACCAAACGGTGGTAATTTAATTGATTTATTATTTCTCTCAAAGATGATGATGAATCTGGAGGTGACTACAATCCTCCACAGAGGTATACAGAATTGCCAGAAAGGGACTATTATAATGAACCTCAGCGTACAGGCAAGTGAACCCACTTCCCGCCTCGATATGCGTCAATAGAATTAGGAATTAATTTGTATTCAACATTTCTAGGAGTTATGGACACGGACTATAAACCTTTCCCTGACGAAAATGATTACAACTTTGAAAATGATGCACTGAGTAATTTCTTTAAGGATAATATTATATCTAATACAACTTTCAAAGTTGATAGTTTTCGATTTTGCTCTCGCTTTTAGACCAAAGACCCACAAATGATTCTGGTGGCAATCAAGTTGGTTGGTGTAAGTATTTGAATGTTCAAATCTTGAAGGATTAAAAAATGTCACAATAGACATAGGGATTTTTAACAGTTACTTCAACGTTATCAACGTTTTTAAGTAAATAGAAACGTTTTTATTACGCACTGATTAAGGCGCCCACTAAATATTCATTGATTGCTTGAATTTCATTCAGACTCAGTGGGAGAAGAAATAGGTATTTCTTATGGTGCTTTAATAAATTAACAGAGACACTCTTTGTAGAACTAGTAATCATTCTTATGCATATGAAAATGGTAGGCTGAGCCAGACTAACTGTCAAGGTTTCAAGACTGGCAACGAATAACATCTTGATAACGGAGGAAATCGATTTAAACATTAACGATAATAAAGGTCATCTAAGTGTGGAAGCAGATCCTATGTCCTTGATCTATGTCTGGTGGTGCTGGTATAAGTTTTCTTTTGGGAACTGGTAAATAATCTTGATAGGTGAATGGGCTCGAAGTTGGGCGAATTCGTGAACATAATGACAAATGTACTTAAATGGAATTTATTAAAATTGGTCCGTAAATTATTTTGCAACATAGAATAAAATATTTATTTATTTCAAATGGCAGGTGTTTTGAATAGTTATCATTAGCCCTTTAGCTGACTTCGGGCTTCACAGAGGGAAGGAACGTCAAAGTAACAAAAGTCGAGGTCGGGGGAGGGAAGACAAGAGCGTTTCAAAGATGTAAAAGAGACAGACACAAAGGCAGAGGAAAGGTAAGATGAGTACTGTGAAAGTGGTAGACTATGACATACAGTGGGGTGATGGTAGTTTGAAGTGAAAAGTCAACTGCCGGTTAATAGACTTTTTTGTCGTATGAGTTTACGTTGCCCAGGGTGCACCACGTGGAGGTAACAATATAGAGTAAATTATTAATCATCCAAATAATATACACCCAAAAATTTAATTTTACCTTGAATGTGTTCCATTTTTTAGATCCCAGAAACGGAAGATTTGATAAAGGAGATGAGAAGGACAATAGTAAGATAAATTTTTCATTGAATTTATTGCTCCCTCCCTCCTAATTTAACTTCACGAAAGTGATATTTATTGGTTAGTGATTTTGAGAAATTTTGAAGGGTGTCATTAGGCTCACTCTGAGGAAATATTTGCATTATTGGGTGTTGATTCAGAATTATGTGAAATCCAATTGGTCATTGGATCGTATTTATGTATGAGAAATGGTACTCTTAGGCTAGGAAAAGTGAGGCAGACACAACTATTAGCACTACAAGTGTCAAGCATAAGCATAAAAAAACAAAATAATTGAAAAAAATTTAACTTGATTTAGATCGTTACTACGAACGTCAAGACAATGACTACGGTTATCGAGAATGGCACAAGGATGAAAACGACTTTAGACCACCCGACTTGAAGGTTCGCTGTTATAAACAGGAAAGTAAGTGACTTTTCCCTCCTTAAATCTCCTTCAAAATTAAACCTAGGTGTTCTGTTCTTTAAACATTTAAAATATCAGTGGAAAGCACTTCAAAAATATCGAAAAAATGTATTGTTTGGTTTGCAATTCATTCACAGTAGACTGAGGGTGTGAGGAAGTAGCTTTTATAGTGACCACTGGGATCGTTTTGAAGACATCGGTCAAGGTTTTATTATCCCAATATTCACCAGCCAAGGGAGCTATTGAAAGCACCTTTCCCAATAAAAATTGGAAGTTACGACTAGCAACGAAAAAGGGTCAGGAAGATGGAATGAAAGTATGTAGGGGGGGGGGGGACATGCAGTAGATTAGAAGCGCCATGAATCACGCCTAAATTAAAGTTTCTTTTCCCTAGCACCAAGCATTGATGAAAATAAACTGAATCAACTCATCGATCTCATAAATGAAATGCCAAGTATGTTAACTAGATTTTCAGATTTTTGTTTTGTTCAATGAACAAACCGTGTATTAACTTGCATTTTTTAAAAAAAACAGAATACCGTGACAAGACTAGGGAAGGCAAAGTTCAAATGCAACCACAACGAGGTCGACCGAAGGAATATTCGAGTGGTCGATGGGAGTCGTGTAAAGGAGACGACGGAGACAACCAATCAAACAACAGTGTTCGCTTGAATGGTAAGAAGGGGAAACCAATCATTCCTCACATATATTAGTCAATAAAATAAGTAATTTAATTATGACTTTTCCATGTCATTAAAGGAAGCACTAGGAAGAAATTTAATTGGCCCAAGCTCCGCAAATCAAAGGCTCAAGCTGACTACCAGCAGGAAATCGATCGAGATATGAACGAAAACTTGGAAGTCAGCAACCGCTGCCGAGAGGACATGGACATAGGGCCTTCCATGGTACCTCGAGCGAGATGCAACAGTGGTGGAAATCATTACAGTCCACGTAGAAGTTGTTCCAGAGGTGATACTCCGGGAATCGGTATAAGTTCTAAATCATCATTTCAATCAAGCCGTTTATGAAACTCTTGGTATATCTGTCGAGGAAGTATATAGTAGCCCAGAAGGGAGATAAAATTTGTAGCGCTAATATCAATTAGAGTAACTGAGTGATTTACTTGAAGTGAGCAATCTTAAGGATCTTACCTGGTAACACATAATAAGTGTTATTATCAAGTGTGTTCCTTCTTAAGATTATTGAACAATCAGATGGGTCTTGGAGGGTAAAATATCTTAGCAGTTGGAAGATAATTTGTTTAATCACACTAACATATAAATCGTTAATCCCTAAATTATAAAGAATACAAATTTGTTAAAGGCACTAGATGTTACTAATTACACAATTCGGAAAACCTATATCAACAAATCCCAAATAAATAAAAATATTATCATATCAAATGGCAGGGGTTTTGATAGTTATAAGGCTTCACAGAGGGGAAGGAACATCAAAGTGGAAAGAGGTTGAGAGGGGAGGGGGAGGGGGGAAGAAGAGCGTTTCAAAGATTAAAATGTGACAGACAGACAAAAAGACAGAGAAAAGGCTGAATGAGTACTATGGAAGGGGTCGAATATGACCTACCGTTGGGTCATGGTTGTTTGAAGTGAGAAGTCAACTGCCGGTTAATAGACCTTTTTGTCGTATGAGTATGCGTTGCCCAGGGCGCACCACGTGGAGGTAAGTCTATAGCAAACCGCATAACTTCAAATAGAGAATTTTTTTATTTATTTCATAATACGCGTTAAAGTCAAAAATATCTTACCTCGAGTAAAGGATTCAGAGAAATGAGTCAAAATTCTGAAGAAAAGTGCTCATTTGTTAAAGTTAAACATTTAGAATATTTGTCTAATTGAATTTGTATCTTCTTTGATTTTAGAAAATGTACCTTCAAGTGAGTTGTTCATGAGTTACTATGAGAAGCATAGCTTTAGTGAATTTAAAATAAAGCATTGTGTTCTACTTTACTTATAGAATCCGAATGTTGTCTTAGCAAATTTTGCAGAAAGTCTTGCAAAGGTGGGTTCAGTCACTTTAGTGATGATATTCAAACCTTCGGATCTTTTGCCTGATTGGTTGTTTGTTGACACGTCATATTCATATTTTCAGGATCAAGTTGCTGTTGTAATAATTCTAGTAAGTAAATTGTCCTTACACTTTTGAGTAAAAATCTATCGATTTCTAACTAATTATATGGAAATTTTATTGATTTGAAAATATTGATTTAAGGACATTTCATATAAATATAGCTAAAATCGGCAAACTAAAATTTGAAAATGTCAAATGTTCATCAAAATTTTCCAAACTGTCAGCTAATTTGCTTTTTTCGTTTTCCATTAAGTATAATTTAGTAAATATTATAAATATTACTACAAATTTACTCTATTTTGTCATCTGTAGAAACTCAAGGAGACTGTGACTACGATGAACGATTCAATGCTGGGATGAACGAAGGCTATAATGAGAGATGCCCCCGTCGTCGTAGATTCAGTGAAAATTACGAGGACTATTACGATGACGACTATAAGGACGGAATGAACGAAGGTTACAAGAGTAGAAATGGCATGAATTTCAACAATGAAATGCGTGGAACTCAAAGGGATCCCAACTTTGAAATGAATGGAAGGATGAACAACGAAATGGATACTGGGATGCAAGGAGACCCTAATGAGGAGAAAAGCAGCAGACAACCTGAAAATCAAAACGATACGGATAGTGTTTGCAACCTAGATGCCCTCAATGGCCTCTGTGCCAGCTTAAATGCTCTTAATGGAGCCCTTGGTGGTTTGAGTGGCACCCTTGGTAAAGGTAGCTCTAACGTTGGAGCAGGAATGACAGGCAATATGGGAATGACTGGAGGAATCAATGGAATGACCATGGGAGTTAATATGCAAAATGGTGGTGGTATTATGAACCCAAGAGGGAGAATGAACTTGGGTGGCCAAAATGCCATCAATGACCCTCTAATTAGTGGAGCAAATGCCAACTACGGTGTTCAGGGAGGTTTCAGCGGTCCACAAAGACTAAATGACAACTTAAGCGGAAGCATGCTTAGTTTATTAAATTCTCAAGGAGGTAAGTGGTTTTGTTAATGTGTCAACTAAATTATGTTTAGGTAATTCCAACTTTGGTGTCAATTATCCCGGTCAACCTAACTGGCCATTCGGAAATAATCGATCGAATTCGTTGCCTCCAGGAGGATATCGTGGAGGTGTGGGCTCGAACTTGAATATACCTGGAATGAATGATTTTGACTATGAGATTCAGTACATTGAACGTAAGCCTCATTATCAACATTATTATATGCATCCCGATCATGGACGATAACGACGTATGTTTGTCTTACAGCCGACATGAAGGAGTACAACCGCAAGGTGAAAGAGGCTAAAGAGAAAGCAGAAAGAAAGAGACAGGAACTAATCCGTCAGCGTGATGAAGAAGTTGCCAAAAAACGTGCAGAGTTGGAGAAGAAAATCGAAGAGGAATATGAGAGGAAAAAGGCGGAAGCTGAACGGCAACGAGAGGCTCAGATTAAAAAGAGGATGTCTGGTGTGTTTCATGATCAACTATTCGCATTCAAATTAAGTCAACTTGTTTAAAAAATTGCTTTTTTGTTTTGCAGAGATTCAAGGCGAACTCAAGAAACAGGAGCATGATCTCATGCAACAATTTTGTAAGAGTTGCAATTATCGATTTTTCATTTGTTTAAACTCACCTACCCCTAATACATATGCATTTAAATTAGGCAAAAATTTAAAAACTGTAAGAGATGCTGAGGCGGAAAGACGCAGGAAATATGAGCTCGGTATGGCTTTTGAACGAACTATTCAATACGTGAGATAGCAAATGAATTGATAGTGATCTCTTTTGTTTCTAGCTTTTGCTGAGACCAATCAAAGAAGTGAAACGCTAAAACAACAATTAGGTAAATTTGGCATGGGTTACATAAAATGCATAAACCGTTCGTTTGTTTATCAATGTTAAACGCCTAATTCTTTAGCAATGGCACGACAGCAAATGCAGGAATTGGAAATGCTTAAATTCCAACTTCATAGGCAAGGTAAACGCGGTTAAAGTATCGATTTTTTGTATGCAGCTGATCTTAAACGAATCTTTCAGTAGACCGTTAGATTGTAATTTAATCAAAGATTCATTACAGACTTCCATACTATTCTTTAGAGGCTGAAAGGAGACAACAACTGGACATGTTGTGTAAGTTCCTGTCTAGGCGAACAATTTTTAACTTTATTAAAAGATATAAATATTGGGAGCAATTTCTAGCCAAACAGATTCAATTCGCAACGCAAGTTCCATCCTACCAAAGTGATACCACTATGGAGAAGAACTTGTTGGCTGATTTTAGCCAGAAGATGCGTGCTCTTAAAACACAGGAGCAGAAACTCAAGGAATCCGTTGGTAAGGAGCCTGAAATATCGATTTTTCGGATATTATTCAAAATTCAAGTGACATTCATATAATTTTATGCAACCTCATGTTTCCTCAATTTTCCAGCCAATGTTCCCATGCCCCATGTTGAGAAGCGTACGTTAAATGCAAAACTGTAAACCTTGTTTAAATGTTATTAGATTTTATGTAAAATATTTTCTCATTCTAGCACAAATGCCGCAAATACCCATTCGTAAGTTAGGTTTATCAGACAAAAAATATAGACAAATAACTGCAACTAATTAATTCAGTCATCTAACTATATGATGTATTCTTTTATTTAATGTTGCGAAATTACATTTTTTCAGCGGATATTCCGGAAGTCGTTCCAGGTATTTTGGCAAAATAAATTTTAATTAATTGATAACAGTATTTTCTTATTTAATGCTAATGAATTTCAAAATTATTTTCAGAGCATGTTCCAAAGCCTGAGCGCATAGAAGTTAGAGTTCGTAAGTTTTCACCATAATGACTTAATATGCAAACGTTTTAAGGTTATGACCATTAATTGTGTATTATTTTAACTAATAGCGAAGCCAAAGCGTGAGTTACATTGATTAGTACTAACGTGCTTGCATTTACGCCTCAGATAAATACGCCATACTGATATACTAATTATAGCCATTTCAGCAGCACCTCAACCGGAAGTTATGCAGCCATATCTTACAGCACCAACAGCACCAGCAGCACCTATTCAGCAACAGTACTCACAAGTCATGCCATCATATCAAACGCCTTGTCTTCCAGCTCCACAGCAAATGCAATCCTATTGTGCACGTGAGTTGATCAACTACTTGTAACTGAATTAAGTAGAAACTACTTTCTTTAAGTCGAAATTCGATCTCTTTCAGCGGCCATGCCAATGATGCCAATGCAAATGATGGGTTGTTACGCTCCATACACCCCATGCTCTGCATGCTGCATGCCAAAGAGGACAGATATGACTTCTATGCCTATTTGTCCTGGACCAAACGTTCGACAAAGTCAATGCTGTCCTCGTTAGTTTAATCTTCCATTTTGAGCAAAATAATTTCCTTAGTGAACGCGTCTATGCTATTCTCAATCATTAGTAATTAGTTTAGCTGACTCTTTATATTCTTTTAGAGCAATCATGTTGTGGCGGAAATTCTCAAGGTAAGTAGCTATATCTATAATAATTTGGCCTCTCTAAAGTTGATCCTTGTCGACCTTCAGATCCACCATGTCAGAACGAGAAAGTAGCTTGTGAGTAACACTTCTAGTTCTATAAGGTATCAATAATTCGATACGCTACATCACATTATTTTCTATTTGACAGGCACAGATTATAAACCTCCTAAAAGAGAATGTAAGTTAACGAGAAAACTAATGATTGTAAGACCAAAATAACAGCTATTTAAACGAATATTTCCCATTGGTAGGTATTCTATCAAAATGTTGCCGCCCATGTAAGCATAAATTTTATTGCATTTAAACAAGTAGATGAGAATTTCTGAACTAAAATAATAATTACTGCCTTGTAGGTGGAATTCGTAAGATTTTCTGCTCTGTGCATTAGACATCATTTTCTAGAATAATGGGATTCTAAATGATTGCATTACACTCACTCTAACACTATAATTATCACTTGAAAGGAAATCTTACAATCCTATTTTATGAAACAGGCCCACCCTCAGAGTGCTGCATGAAAGCACCAAAAGACGATTGCGTGTCAGAAGATGAAATTTATGAACTAAAATCAGCAGGTGAGACATTACAATTGAAGTTGAACGAACTAGTTCTTACCCAAGATCACCAACTAAATTTAATCATAGAAAAGCATGGGAAAGCCCAGGGAGAATTGAAATTGCCCTAGTGATGGATGATAGGGGGCGAGGAGTTGGATAAATGCAACAAATCGTGCTCAAGGGATAAAAAAGTCAACTTTACTTGAAGTCTAGGAACGAAATCGACTGCTTCGAGTGCCGAAAATTATCATTGGGCAAATTTCATTGGCTAATTTGAAGAGGTTTATTTGTCCATGATACTTCAAAATTATTCACAGGATAATTAGGCTAATTGGTCAGTGTTTCGAATTATGGTTGTTAATCTATTTCTTTAAGCTGCTGGCTTGAAAGTTGTTAATCTAACAGATCTCGTATGATCATATTCGAATTGAACTATAATGATACTAGTTTCCTGTAAGTACATGTAAGGACATGCTTATTTGGGTGAGGTCTTTTACTGGTAGATGAACTACATGGTCGAGACCAACCCAACAATGGAATGACAGGGGAAATAAAGTTGATGCATTGTGTTACGTGCTAAATCCCCCCCCCTCCCCTCCCAACTGATAAAGTAAATCAAAGATGTTTTTTCGTATTATTTTAGACTCAACTGAGTGCGATAATGACTGTGGAGCGTGTGAGTCTGAGGAAGAATGCAGCACCGTTGACTGCAGCTGTAAGTCAATGACCACTGATTGCTATGGAGACTATTCGTAACATTCTGACAATATTTAGTTCAACATAGATCGATTTTGTCCTTCCTATCTTAAGGCAGAAGGTGGAGGACTAACAAACTAGGCATGAAGAGCCTGACTAAATTTTTGCTTTCATGCAGTAAGAGTTTTACCAACGTAAAGAGGGGTGGGGTTTGAGATGGATCATAGAGCAGGTGTCAGTTTTGATATCCATTTTCGACTAATTGTGTCAATTATTGGATTAAAATTTTAAATGATGGCTATGAAAAAGGCACGAAACTGGAAAAATACTGTGCCAATGGTGACGTCAAATACAGAATGAAGGGACGGAGAATAATCGAGTTGAATATCATCTCATTTAAACCGTGGGATATTCGGTCAAATAAGAATGCAGAATATTTCCATGAAACCGATTATTTAATTTATTTGCTATTTCTTGCATGCTTGTTATCGATTTATTGTTGTCAATTATAAATTCGCCCCCCCCTATTTTAAATAAAACTATTATTTTTTTTGAAAATGCCTTTAGGTCCCACCTATGAGTGTACAGAAGAGAAGTCATGTGAAGATCCAGTTCCGGAATGTGCACCAGCTAGCTCATGTGAAACATTGAAAAATCCAGATCCCGAATGCCCTGCAGTTAATGAAACCATAAGTAAATTTTGTCATGAAAATGACCACTTAAATAATTTAATTTCTTAAAATGTCTTCTCCTTTTTAAATTAAAATTAAATTGTTTTTCTGCTTTTCTTTAAATTAGACGCGGTGGACGAATGCCCGGATAATTATGTTCGCGGTACGTTATTTAAAATAAAAACTCCTTTTTCTTAGTAACGCTTCACACTATTTTAAAAAATATTCTCCAAAATTTTTAGGATGCTGTGGTTAGAGAAAAATATTCAGAATGAACAATGATACAATGATCAATTAATTGTGGTCTGGATAAAACACAATCAATATATCTGACAGAACTTCTTTAAATAGTAATTATGATTGGATTAAATAAATCGATTTCGGCCTTTTAAATTTTTTTAATGTTTTACTATAAAGTTATGACGCTTGAATGAAAGTTCTGTTTTAGTGAAGATCATTATACTCAAAACCCTTCCTAGAGCAAATGGAATTCCCCAGAAATAATTATATACAGCATAATATTATATGATATGGTAATAAGGACTAAAGATTGTCATAAAAATTGATTTATTTATAACAAATGCCAGGCTTTACTAGAGTTATCACTAGCTCTTTAGTTGACTTCGGCATTCACCGAGAGGAGGATAATCTAAGTCAAAAAAGTTGAGGATGAAGGGGAACAGAAGAGTGATTCTCAGATGTAAAAGGTGAAGAAACAAAAGTAGAGAAGGTAAGGTGAGTACTGTGAAATGGTCGTATGTGACATGCAGGCGGGTCATAGTAGTTTGAAATGAGAAGTCGACTGCCGGTTTACAGATTTTTTTGCCGTGTGAGTATGTTTTATCCTAGGTGCACCACGCGGAGGTAAGTCTATCGGGCATCCCTTGTCATAAAATATTTCAAATGCAATATAGTCACAAAGCTACAGATTTCCTCTTCGGAGTAAAGGGAACTCTGCCCTCATATTCTGAGATAATTGGGGGAAGGGGGCATTGGTGTGTAACAACTTATAATAACGAAATCTTGTGTTCAATTTCGTTTTAACAATTTCAAAAACCATGAGCCATTTATGATTGCATGGAGAAGAGGAGTAAGCTTTCAAATAGTACGATATTTTTTGGGTGATGATAGAGTCAATCATGGTGATTGGTTGATGACATTAATTTGCTTTGGAGAATATACCTATTATTCACAGCCTAAGCCAAAGAAACAAATTTTTGTAGGTAATTGAGTTTAGCTTACGCGAGGCCATTTATAAAAACATGTATTTTCCAATAAATTGAAAATTGAAAGAGGCGTATTTGAATCCCCTCATGTTATATTAACTGTGGACAGTGGCCAAAAAAATAAGTAGACTTGTAGAAAATATCCGTAAATACTACTGGAACGCATGCCGAAATCGTACATTTCGTAGATGAGTATCCACCTTCATTAATTAAAGTCACATTCAAAATTATTTTGGATATTCAAATTTAGTCTGCATTAATTATTTAATGCTCGAATAATTTTTTTTTCGAAAATGCACCCGACCTGCACTTACGCGTGTCTCACAGCAGATTGATGCCATCGACGTGTTGAGTTTTGGTGGTGTATCAGGCGAAGGCTCTAGACAAGTATTGAGCATGTTTCAAACGACGATATCACCTTCTGTTAGGAGTCTAGTACCAATGGAGCTAATTTGGAAGACGAACCGTACGGTGCTAAGGGCGTTAAAGGGTTAAGAATTTCTCTTCCACACACTACACAATAAGTATTTGTCTTCATTTACAATGGCAAGGTGATGCCTCTATGACCATACCATTTCCAGACAGTCGTCATTCAGTGACCTCCTTTCTCCCATACCTTTCTTACTCTCTTGAAGTCTCATCCTATCTTAATCAATGCATTTTGGTTTTCGCAGTTCTTGGTGCTCCACTTTGAAAACCGCCATATGTTGATATAAGTTGCTAGCCGTTACGCGCGGCACCTAAATTGGTGACCTTGGTTCATGCCACTCAATCCAAGCAGTGACCTTGTGAGCTTACACCCATCTGTGCAATTATGATGCAATATTCTTCTATCATGATGACTTCCTCCCTATGTTCGTGGCAATATTACCTAACCCATGGATTGAGGATAGAGTCACATGCTTGCCCGTCCCGCATTCAACGAATTATACACTCGATCAAAGATCCTGGAAAACTAATTGATCATTATTTTAGAAAAGGTTCCTCCATTCCATCAACATTTGGTGTGAAATTTCTTTTTTGACCTTAATGATATAATAGCCCTACTTGTCAACAAGCAGGTGGCATGTTTAGTCAGGGCAGATCATAAAACTGAATAGAGAAGTCGATTTTTAACGTTTTTAGAGTTTTCGCATATGAATTAACAGAACCAATCTCGATCATGAGCACATTTCTAGTAATTAACGCATAATTGCAGGTGACTAAAACTTAGATAAGAAATACTGCTTGTGCAAATCTTCTTTAGTTTGAAGTCCCTGGCAGGGATTTAAGGCAAAAATCTATTGAACTGCGTGTGAAATTTTATCAGTAATGGGACATTTTCACCATTAATTTAAAAAATGACCTAACTACACTTGAGTGGTATTCAATCTCACTGATAAATTTGCCTAGCGCCAACGTCTGCTTTCATCAATTCTAGACTGTATGGATGGTTAGCACTATTGAAAAATAATTCGGTATTTGAGTACTTAACATCCACAGGAGAGGAGTGCGCAATAGACCTACCTCCACGTGGTGCACCATAGGCAACGTATACTCATATGGCCAAAAAAGTCAATTATTTGGAAGTTGACTCAAACTACCAACACCCGTCTGTACGTCATATTTGACTAATTTCACAGTACTCACCTCACCTTTCATCTACCTTTGTGTCTGTCTCTTTTTCATCTTTAAAACACTCTTCTACCCCCTCCCCACTCTCGAATTTTTTATTTTGATGTTCCTTCCCCTCTGTGAAGTCCAAAGTCAGCTATAGGGCTAATGATAACTATCAAAATGCCTACCATTTGACATAAATAAATAAATATCCACAGAAGAATAAGGTCAAGGTATTCTGTTCTCCGTGGTAGTCAAGTGAAATGGTAACTAATATCATTTGAGGGGTAACAAAATTTAGGTGATTTCTTGAACTTCAGAAATGGTACAAGAGTTTGCGTATTGTTTGGTCCATTTAATAAAGTTGAGAGGACCTTAAGTATAAAAAAAGCTTTCCCGTAATGCGGCATTATGAACTTTCATGCAACCTAGCCATCATGTGTGTGGTGTCAACAACTAGTAATTGTCAACGGTAATAGGCTCTGGTTATTTCTATGTTACTCGGATAATCATTTTATCAAATGAAATTCAGTAATACTGTCCTACTGAAGGAGGTGTAGGATACAGTTTCACGGTCGGAAGGAGATTGGTGTGAATATTGCTCGGGATGCGTAAAATTAAAGAAATGAGGTTTGAATATAACATTTGACAAGTTGTCATAAAATGGTAGCATGGATTCTCATTGGAAGTGGACTCAATGGAACAATCTGTCTTTAATTCCAACGGAAAAGTGGAAGATGTTTTCATGAGATTAGCATTTTATTTCTTTTTATTTTGACCTAATTTGTGTCTCAACTCAGTCGAATATTTTAGTACTCAGAATCTAATTTAGAAGTGACTATTCTTCACTTATCTAAAGGATTTTCATTTGATATTTGGTAAACGGGTATCTGAAATCGTACAGCACAGTTAGGCTAGTAAAATCGTCCACTCTATGGTCTAAAAGATTGTGCTACAATTAAAACAAGTATTCTGCCTTCTTTTAATGTTCCAGTTCAATAAAATTACGATAGTGAGCATAAATAAGAGTTTACCTACTTACCTCACCCTTCAACGCTCTTAGCACCGTACGTTTCGTCTTCCAAATAAGCTTCATTAGTACTAGACTTCTATCAGAAGGCGTTATTGCCGCTTGAAACATGTTCAATACGTGTCAATAGCCTTCGCCTGATGCCACCAAAACTCATCACGTCGGCGGCATCAGTCTGCTATGAGACACGCGTGAGTGCGGTTGGGTATATTTTTCAAAATTAATTCGGATGTTAAAGGGTTAAGCGTCAATAACTTTGCTCAATGTGATCTTATTCCATCGAGTAACATATATATATATATAGCAAATTTAAACTGCTAGCGTTATGGGTTTACGCTCCTCTATGCCAAAATGGTTAATCAAAATTGAAAACTTCGCTTTCGAATCTTCTTCCAACGGACCCTAGAAAGGGCAGATTCTGCAACGCCACTCTCCATCCCATGGACAGTTAAAATGAAAGTCAAATCTTAACATTCTAATTCTTGACTAACCGATCGATTTCGGGGAGCTCAGTAAAGATTTTGTATGTGCTCAAGATTCAAATTAATTTCGATTGCAATATTATGCTCAATCTTTTACACAAAGTTAATATCAACAGGAAGGGATTGGTCAATTTAAACAACATTTTTCAAAGGTCATTTTCCTCCATAAAGAAAAAAACAAGAATACAATGCGATAAGTATCATTTTTTAACAGCTTTGAAAGGAAATTTTATGTTATTATTGTTATTGTTTGAGATTTTGTGCATTGTTCATTAGCACAATTATTGTTCATTGTATCAGGAATTGAACAAATTGATTAATTGTCTTCTAAAATGTTAAAAAATTGATTTTACTAAAATTATGAAGGATTGCAAATAGAAGATTGTTTCATTTCACTAACCATTTAGAGCAACCATCAGTCCTTCCTAATCGTCGCATTCTAAGTGAGTAAAATGAAAGAAATTATTTAATGAGAAAATATGGAGAGGAAAGGCTATTAAAATACAGGCTAATTTGGCCTACTTTTAAAGGACAGTAATCTTGAAGCCGAAGATTGCGGTCTTTTGATTGGTTTATCGTCACAAGTCTTCTTTTTTTCGCACTTTTTCTTCTCTTCGCACTTTGGTGGTTCCTCACAAGCCTGGTCATTTGCGCCACCAGTGCCTAAAATTAAATTTAAAGTTTAAGCATTCTTACAATTTATTGTCTTGTTTTACAACAGTAAACTGATGAAGGTTATGAAGAGAGGGATAAGGACATTTTCATACAATAAATCGGTAAGTATTATATTTAAAGTAGAAACATACAGACACAGCAGTTGGATGTCCTGCAACAACTGGGACCGCCTCCGCACGAAGGCGCACAAGCCGGTGCACATGCCGGGGCACATGCAGGCTTACAGCAGCCACTTGGTGCACAGCATGATCCTGTCGCTGAAACATTTGCCAAGATTTAAGTCAGTATCAATCAATATGATTAGGTGGGGTGGGATGTGGTGGGGGGGGGGGAGGTAAGGTAGTGCAATCGAAATGGTGACTGAATTCAAAGAAGGGATTCAAGAAGTCTTTTTATCACTTCTTTTTATTGCGAAGACAGAAACTATATCCACCATGATCGAATACAAATCTCCCTGATTGAATTCTCAATCAAAGTAGCACTAACTTTTTCTGAATTTGGCTTAGCCTGGATTATAATTATTAATAGGGCAAACGGTAGTTGGTGGCTATTTTCATTTCTTAAAAGATGTAACAAAGGGTGTCGGGAATAAGGTTCCTAGTTAGATAAAATCGTGAAAAAAGTCGTCTATATCAAACGTGATCTAATGTCAACAACCACTGATTTGAAATCTTTTGTCGTGAAATGTGGCGTTAAAACAGTAATAGAATAAGTTATCAATGAGCCACGAGGAATTCCTAAGTTGTCGAAAGAATTTTGAGAAAGTTGCCATCTATATACAACCAAGTATAATGATGTTGACACATTTCAGATTTTTGTACGATCAAATACTTACCAGGTTTGGCGCAGGAATCCGATGATTTGCCTGGTTAAAGTAGAAGAAAATAATTAAATTCATTAAGCAGTCATCTAAATTTCCCACAAACAGAAAATTATCGCCTCACGTTTGTAGCATTTTGTTAGAGGACCTAAAATGACAAAAAAACGAGGGATTAAAATGAAATGATGCATTGTTGTTTAAAGCCACAATGAATTTATCAATACTCACATCCAGACGATGCTAAAATAGCGAAAGAAGATCATGGTAACATATGATGATGCGATAAGGCTTATATAGAAGTGAAGCGGATATCTTTCCACTTACGTTTACAACATCCACTTCCACTGGAACAGCCAGATCTACTCGAAGAGCAGCATCCACTAGATGAATTGCATCCACTGGATGATTTACATGCACTAGATGAGTTACATCCACTGGATGAGTTACATCCACTGGATGAACAGCATCCGCTAGAAGAGGAGCATCCACTTGGTTTGCAGCAACTGGTGGGTGGACCGCAACTGGCAGGCGGACAGCAACTAGTAGGCGCACCGCAACCACTAGGCTGACAACTGCTAGGCGCACCACATCCACTGGGCTGGCAACAACTGCTTGGTGCACCACAACTGGCAGGCGGACAGCATCCACTAGACGGACCACAACCACTAGGCATGCAACAACTACTAGGCATGCAACATCCACCAGGCGCGCAACAACTAGACGCACAGCATCCACCAGGCATGCAACATGCGCTAGGCATACAGCATCCACTGGGCATGCACATGGGAACTTGAATAGATACAGA